ATATATGTATACATACATATACATATATGTATACATACATATACATATATGTATACATACATATACATATATGTATACATACATATACATATATGTATACATACATATACATATATGTATACATACATATACATATATGTATACATACATATACATATATGTATACATACATATACATATATGTATACATACATATACATATATGTATACATACATATACATATATGTATACATACATATACATATATGTATACATACATATACATATATGTATACATACATATACATATATGTATACATACATATACATATATGTATACATACATATACATATATGTATACATACATATACATATATGTATACATACATATACATATATGTATACATACATATACATATATGTATACATACATATACATATATGTATACATACATATACATATATGTATACATACATATACATATATGTATACATACATATACATATATGTATACATACATATACATATATGTATACATACATATACATATATGTATACATACATATACATATATGTATACATACATATACATATATGTATACATACATATACATATATGTATACATACATATACATATATGTATACATACATATACATATATGTATACATACATATACATATATGTATACATACATATACATATATGTATACATACATATACATATATGTATACATACATATACATATATGTATACATACATATACATATATGTATACATACATATACATATATGTATACATACATATACATATATGTATACATACATATACATATATGTATACATACATATACATATATGTATACATACATATACATATATGTATACATACATATACATATATGTATACATACATATACATATATGTATACATACATATACATATATGTATACATACATATACATATATGTATACATACATATACATATATGTATACATACATATACATATATGTATACATACATATACATATATGTATACATACATATACATATATGTATACATACATATACATATATGTATACATACATATACATATATGTATACATACATATACATATATGTATACATACATATACATATATGTATACATACATATACATATATGTATACATACATATACATATATGTATACATACATATACATATATGTATACATACATATACATATATGTATACATACATATACATATATGTATACATACATATACATATATGTATACATACATATACATATATGTATACATACATATACATATATGTATACATACATATACATATATGTATACATACATATACATATATGTATACATACATATACATATATGTATACATACATATACATATATGTATACATACATATACATATATGTATACATACATATACATATATGTATACATACATATACATATATGTATACATACATATACATATATGTATACATACATATACATATATGTATACATACATATACATATATGTATACATACATATACATATATGTATACATACATATACATATATGTATACATACATATACATATATGTATACATACATATACATATATGTATACATACATATACATATATGTATACATACATATACATATATGTATACATACATATACATATATGTATACATACATATACATATATGTATACATACATATACATATATGTATACATACATATACATATATGTATACATACATATACATATATGTATACATACATATACATATATGTATACATACATATACATATATGTATACATACATATACATATATGTATACATACATATACATATATGTATACATACATATACATATATGTATACATACATATACATATATGTATACATACATATACATATATGTATACATACATATACATATATGTATACATACATATACATATATGTATACATACATATACATATATGTATACATACATATACATATATGTATACATACATATACATATATGTATACATACATATACATATATGTATACATACATATACATATATGTATACATACATATACATATATGTATACATACATATACATATATGTATACATACATATACATATATGTATACATACATATACATATATGTATACATACATATACATATATGTATACATACATATACATATATGTATACATACATATACATATATGTATACATACATATACATATATGTATACATACATATACATATATGTATACATACATATACATATATGTATACATACATATACATATATGTATACATACATATACATATATGTATACATACATATACATATATGTATACATACATATACATATATGTATACATACATATACATATATGTATACATACATATACATATATGTATACATACATATACATATATGTATACATACATATACATATATGTATACATACATATACATATATGTATACATACATATACATATATGTATACATACATATACATATATGTATACATACATATACATATATGTATACATACATATACATATATGTATACATACATATACATATATGTATACATACATATACATATATGTATACATACATATACATATATGTATACATACATATACATATATGTATACATACATATACATATATGTATACATACATATACATATATGTATACATACATATACATATATGTATACATACATATACATATATGTATACATACATATACATATATGTATACATACATATACATATATGTATACATACATATACATATATGTATACATACATATACATATATGTATACATACATATACATATATGTATACATACATATACATATATGTATACATACATATACATATATGTATACATACATATACATATATGTATACATACATATACATATATGTATACATACATATACATATATGTATACATACATATACATATATGTATACATACATATACATATATGTATACATACATATACATATATGTATACATACATATACATATATGTATACATACATATACATATATGTATACATACATATACATATATGTATACATACATATACATATATGTATACATACATATACATATATGTATACATACATATACATATATGTATACATACATATACATATATGTATACATACATATACATATATGTATACATACATATACATATATGTATACATACATATACATATATGTATACATACATATACATATATGTATACATACATATACATATATGTATACATACATATACATATATGTATACATACATATACATATATGTATACATACATATACATATATGTATACATACATATACATATATGTATACATACATATACATATATGTATACATACATATACATATATGTATACATACATATACATATATGTATACATACATATACATATATGTATACATACATATACATATATGTATACATACATATACATATATGTATACATACATATACATATATGTATACATACATATACATATATGTATACATACATATACATATATGTATACATACATATACATATATGTATACATACATATACATATATGTATACATACATATACATATATGTATACATACATATACATATATGTATACATACATATACATATATGTATACATACATATACATATATGTATACATACATATACATATATGTATACATACATATACATATATATATTTGATAGATCCTATTTATGCAACCCAATTAACTTCCTCATTTCCTTCCTTGAGGATTTGACAATGTGATCCCTTGAAGATTTTCATCAATAATTTGATGATTCTTTGTTCCTTTCAATTTCCTTTTGGTTTTCTACAATGCTGCCATGTTTTTTATGTCATTTAGGTTTTTGCATATATATATTTGATAGATCCTATTTATGCAACCCAATTAACTTCCTCATTTCCTTCCTTGAGGATTTGACAATGTGATCCCTTGAAGATTTTCATCAATAATTTGATGATTCTTTGTTCCTTTCAATTTCCTTTTGGTTTTCTACAATGCTGCCATGTTTTTTATGTCATTTAGGTTTTTGCCTTATCCTAAAGATGCTCATCGAGTGGTAGTAAGTAAAGAGGGTTAAATAAGGAAGGCTAAATAACCTTCTTCCCTTGGTTTATTCATTGTTGAGGTTTCACTGGATTAAATTGCATTTTGTGTTGAGGTGTACTCTTGATGTTTGAAGCTTTTTTTTTGGTATCCCTTTCCTTACCCTTCTTGTTGCTTTCTATTGCTTGCAACTTTACATGTAATGTGTTCCCCCAAGGCCCAAATTACTTGATGTAATTGATTCTGTTAAGTGGTTAATCTGATATGCCAATCACAATTTGATTGATCCTATTTGTGCGGAAAGCTTCTTGAATCACAAATTGGTTCTGTCAGCATTTTACCTTACGCGTGTAGAAAACTAAAGTAGTTGACATAGAGCTTATAAACCTTGGAAACTTATTAGTTCTGCCCTAATAGCAATACCCTCATGCTTAGTCCTATTTAGAACTGCATTCAGTGAGCATTATAATTTATGTTGAATGTAAGTGTCCCACCGTTCTGTGATTGGTCCTTCTTAATGTTTATTTTATAGCTCTTTTTTTTTTTCCTAGGATTTGTATCTGGAAACATTGTTTTGTATTGGGGTAAGTTTTGGTTCTGTACCAATGTTTTTTTTTTTTTTTATAATTTTTATCTGGCAACTGTTTCTCATGAACTTGTTACATCTTTATCTTGTCTTTGCTTTCCATCTTGTATCAATTTTTCTTTACGGAGTATTATGCTGCATTTTTATCATCCAGTTACCAACCTCTTTGTATTTGCAGATAACTAGAACAATTTTTTGTTGTTGATGCTTTCCAGTATTCAAAACTTGTATTTAGAGACATTCTGATAGCAGTGTTCTTGTTGGGATGTGCTAGGGCTGACATTGAATTTATTTTATGATTTGAAGGTACTATTCCAGTATTTTTTTGAGCGACAGTGTTTGTTGAAGTGCATTAGGCGTTTATTTGTGAATTCCTGTAAGATTCTTGTTTTGTTCTTTCAGTTATTATTTTTATTGCTGAAAATAGTCAAGAAATCTAGAAAAAATTAAAATTGTTTTTTTTTGTTTTTCTTTTTATTTTGGAACTTGAGATCTGTTTCGTTTCTTTCATTTGCTAGTAACAAATTATGCTTCAGTATTAGTAGCTAATACCCGTACAATGGGTGGAGAACACTAATGATAAATGATTATTTTACTTAAAAAAATGACAAATAAGGACAGACGACTTAACATTTACTCCCCTACGTCCACCCAATTGATCTAAGTTTTGGTTCTTGCCAAGGCTCACTGCCTAATCAAAAGAAATATTATGATGTAAGAACTTAGTGAAAAAGGGGCGGTGGTGAAGGAGAAACTTACTCTAAATCTACCAGAAAATTGTTGAATAAAACATGAGAATCACATCATGCAAACCATTTTGCCCGTGTTTAATCGTTTCATACCCTATTTGTTCTAATTTGATCACATATATATCTCAATGTTCTGTTTAATTCCAAGATCAATTTCTATGATAAGTTTCATTACTTGTGACTTCTTTGTCTTTAATATCGGGATAAATGTTATAGTCAATTTAATTACAACTTTGTAGAGTTTTTAATTTTTAGTCTCAATTATATTTTTTATTGCACAGTATTATTATTGTTGAAAACCTTGTTCATTTTAACTGCCTAACTTTAATTCTAGAAGTTACGATGCCATCTATATCCTTTTTTTGTGTAATAGGTCTATGCAACTTAAATTTATCAATATAACTTTCTTCAATTTTAATTGATAATATTAATTTTACTTGTACTAAATTTGTATGTCTTGTAAGTGGCATTTGTTCTAATAATCCTTTGCCTCTTATTTTCTTGAAGTTTACTCACTTGTTCTAACCTTTTACCTATTATGTTGTCAATAATTGAATACTTTTATGCTGAAGCAGGTTTGTTAAATAATGTATTTTCTTCAAATATCAATTTACTAAAGCAATTTTCTCGTTGAATCGTTTGGGTTGGTTGCTGAATATTTATCTACTATAGCACCTTTTTAGTTTTAATAAAGTATCTGAATCAAAATATATTTTAGTAGTTCTTAGTGAAGTTAGAGTTCAACTGTCATCTGAATCTTGTTAATTAACTGAATAGCTGAATTCTTATTGATGAATTTGGTGTTTCACATCTTTTCTCCCATGGATGCGGTTTGATATATTTATTTAATTTTGTCATTTATTTAATAAGGAGGATCTACATATGATATTTATTGATTTAGAAAAAGCATATGATAAAGTTCCAAGAGAAGTGCTATGGAGAGTTCTTGAAAAGAAAGGAGTCAATAATGCTTATATTCAAATCATTAAAGATATGTATGCAGGAGCTATTACTTGTGTTCAAACACAAGGTGGATTGACCAAGTATTTCCCTATTTCGGTTGGGTTACATCAAGGATCAGCCTTAAGCCCATATCTTTTTGCTTTAGTCTTGGATGTTCTCACTAGACATTTGCAAGAGGATGTACCTTGATGTTTGCTTTTTGCTGATGATATTCTTCTTGTTGATAAGACTAGAGAGGGAGTTGAAGGTAAACTTGAATTATGGAGGTCAACCTTAGAGTCTAAAGGTTTTCGCTTGAGTAGATCTAAAACGGAATATTTCCTTCTTGGCTTAAAACAGCACCGATTCCCACATGTGAAGCATCACAATCAACTTCAAAAACTTTTTCAAAATCAGGCAGACTAAGAATTGGAGCATGACTCATTTTCATTTTGATAATTTGAAAAGTTTTTTCAGCCTCTGGAGTCCATCTAAAAATTCCCTTTTTCAAACAGTCAGTAATAGGAGCAATTACAGAACTAAAATTTTTAATGAATCGACGATAGAAAGATGCCAAACCATGAAAACCCCTTACCTCACTGATATTTTTAGGAACAGGCCAGCTTTTGATTGCCTCGATTTTTACCGGATCAACTTTGATTCCCTCAGCAGATACAATATAACCCAAGAAAGTCAAACTTGAAGTCATAAAAGTACACTTCTTAAGATTGATATACAATTTTTGTTCCCTCAAAGTTTGCAAAATTTTTTTAACATGTGAAAGATGTTCAGAAGGGTGAATACTGTAAATCAGAATATCATCAAAATATACCACCACAAACTTTCCGATAAAAGGTCTCAAAACATGATTCATTGTTCTCATAAAAGTACTTGGAGCATTAGATAAACCAAAGGGCATAACAAGCCATTCATACAAACCTTCTTTGGTTTTAAAAGCAGTTTTCCATTCATCCCCAGGCCTTATTCTTATTTGATGATACCCACTTCTCAAATCAATTTTAGAAAAAATTTTGGCACCACTTAACATGTCAAGCAAATCATCTAGCCTAGGCATGGGAAATCTGTACTTAATGGTTATCTTATTGATAGCACGACTATCCACACACATACGCCAAGTTCCATCTTTTTTAGGAGTAAGCAAAGCAGGCACAGCACAAGGACTTAGACTTTCCTTTATTAAACCCTTTTCTAAAAGTTCAGTCACTTGCTTAGAAAGCTCTTTATGTTCATTTGGACTCATCCTGTAATGTGAAAGATTAGGCAATGTTGCTCCAGGAATTAAATCAATGTGATGTTGAATGTCTCTCATAGGAGGTAAGCCAGTTGGTAACTCGTCAAGTGTTAAATCAGAAAATTCATTAAGCAACGGTTGCATTTCCTTAGGAATTTCAAGAGCCAAATTAAATCAATATGATCAGAATAAAATATGAAGAAAACTCTTAGCGGCTTAAAACAATGAAATAAAACATAAAGGGGGTCACACCCGCTTAGGCTAAATCACATAACTAGAGATTCAAAACTTTCAAGATAAACTAGAAAATAACAAGATGCCGAATAGTAGCTTCAAATAAAATCCCTAATCTAACAATGAGAATTAATAAGCATAGAGGCACACTGAAAACTCTACATTTACTAAGCTTAGCAGAAGCAGGAAGGATCGTACTTCGTGACTACAATCAAACACAAGATAGAGTTAGATTCAGGAAATACGTTGAGAGGGGAAAGTATAACCTTTTGTCAAGGATCGGTGGAGATCCTCCACTCAACGCCTTCAAACTTCTCGTCGATTGCTTCCACCAAAGCGTCCAGTATGAGCTCGATGTAGTCCTCGACGATGTGATCGATCCTTGTATTAACGTCAAAGAAAGTAGATTTGAGGATATCTACGAAACCATCTTCATCGTAGGTGAGGCCGTATTCAGTCACCGGATCCGCCATTCATAGGGGCTCGATAGCAAACTCTTCACAACTTGATTGTGCACTTGGAGATAGTTGAAAGAGAAAGAAGTTTCTCTTATAATTTGAGAGGGGGATGAGACAAGACAAAAATTTGAAATAAGTTTCAGATTTTTGTAAAGGGAGAGGGATTTAGGAGAGAAAATCCAAGGTGTGTGCCTTGGCAAAATTCGGCCAGCAACAGGGAAGGGTTTTAAACTCTTTCCAAAGGGAGACAATTCACCATGGAAAGATTTTAGAAGAAATCCAATGAGGGGGGCCGGCGGTATGTGGAGGTGGGGAGGATTAGGGATTTATTTCCTAATCCTAATGTCAGGTTTTAGGAAAGCAATTAAAGACTTGAGCTTTTGAAAATTTCGGCTATCATGAGATTGGGAAATCTTTCTAAAGAAAAAGAAATTGATGTTTAGGAAAGGTTTCCTACCCCAAGCCAAAAGGGGGAGGGGCCGGTGGCAACAATGGGGTAGTTTGGGATTCATAAATTAGGAAAGGCAATTTTAAAATCCAATCAATTATAAATTGATTTGATTGAGTTTAAATACTTTCCTTAAATAGATTTGGTATATTAGGAAATATTTTGAATTTTAAATCACTTGGATTTGAATTCAAATTTAATTCCAAATATGTTCAATCCATAATAGGAAATAAGGAATAAAGGGAGGGAGGGGAAACCCAAGAGAGGCCGGCGGCTAGGAGAATGTGGCCGCCGGTTTTGGACGAGGGGAAGTGGGGTTGATTGGGTGGGGTTTGGCCGTGGAGCTAAAAGGGTGGACGAGAGGGATGGAGATGCCTCGGGTGAGATGAAAGCCGGCGGCTAAGATGTTAAGTTAATGGGAAGGAAAGGGGAAGGAGATAGAGGATAGAACCACGAACTCGACTTATCTAGGTTGGTGGGTACTGCGCAAATCTCCCTCTCCTAGGGATTTCTCTCCGATTTCTCAAGCTCTCTCACGAACTCCAAGCAAGAAGATAAAATTCTCAAATAATCATTCATTCATTCATTCATTTATTAAAAACAATAAGCAAGGGGCTATAAATAGCATGATATAAGGACTTAAAATAAATGACGAACATGCCCTCGGGGTTTACATACGACATCCCTTTACTAGAAGGGTATAACGAGAAATAAAATAAAACAAATACTTAAATAACCATAACATGAATAAAAAATACAATGACTCGATCGTGGCCTTAGATCGGCGGCCACGCCTCTGATAAACCTTCCACGATATGATGTCCCCATCATTCTCCTGGTGTGGGAGAAAACTCGACTCCGTTGAGTAAGTATCTCTGGTGCTCTCCTAGATCTCTAGTGCATCTGGGTCAATCTGCTGCAACTCTTCGTGGTCTAGCCAGGTATCTTCTGACTCGGGCTTTCCTTTTCCACCTGACCAAATACCTCCTTCGTCCACTTTCTCTTGTGGATATGATCTCATGACTTAAGATTGCATCCACCTGCTCTGCCATGGGTGATTTAGGAATATCTGGTAGTGGAGGTAGGTTTGGGATCTCACAAGTTCACACAAGGCTGTTTTATAAGTGGATTTGGCGGATTAAAATCCGGACCTTCATATGCAACTAAGTCTTCTATGTTAAAAGAGGGATTTATATTGAAATCTGCAGGCAAATATATTACGTAGGCATTATCGTTAATTTTCTTAAGTATTTTGAAGGGTCCAACACTCTTGCCATGCAACTTCTTAACTGT